TGTGTGTGTGTGTGTGTGTGTGTGTCAGGGGTCTCACTCTAATTCCCAGGCTGGAGTGCAGTACTCACTACAGCCTCAACCTCCTGGGCTCAGGCAGTCTTTCCAAAACAGCCTCCCAAGTATCTGGTATTACAGATGTGTGCCATCACACCTAGCTAATTTTTTCATGTTTTTGTAGAGGCAAGGTCTCACTATATTGCTTCACCTGCTCTCAAATTCCTAGACTCAAGCAATCCTCCTGCCTTGGCCTCCCAAAGACAGCCATAAGCCACTATGACAGCCATAAGCCACTATGCTCAGCCAACTTCTTGATTCTTGATGGTCCTTGCAGAATTAATTTTCTGGAACAGAAGCAGTACAAAGGGGCACTTGCTATGGAAATGGCCTTGCTCAGAGAACTTGTCCATATATATATGGCATACAGATCATATATTTCTACCCCTTCACACTATCCCCCCCACACACATCTATTGACACACACACACATACTCCTTCACATACATGTCTACTCCCAGTTGTACACACACATTCATGGGTATTATATATTCACACATGCTACCAGCTGAGGTGAGTTGTAATATGGCTTGACTAACTTAAAAGAAAACAATATAATTAAGTTGAGAGATGCTTCAAGAAAAATATAATGGCCAGATTTATACAAAACAAGAAGGATTCATCCATGTAAAACTATACTTATATATTTTATGAAACAGGACATTTTTTAAATAGACAAAAATTCCAATCAATCACAAAAACACCAAGAAATGATGGTGCTTGTTGAGCTATTTTCCAGAGGAATGCCATTGATGTAGATGAGCCTTGAGCAGCTTTCAGTCTATCAGCAGTTAACGGTGAGATCTAAATGCCACTGCCTTCTGTTCACAAACTGCCACTGCCTTCTGTTCACATCTGATCACAAGTTATGATGTTCAGAAGAATGCCGGGCATTCACACGTCACTGAGGTTCTTAAATCAGGATGTCCATGAACTTGCATAGGAAAACTGTTCTACGTTTATATTCACTAACCACTTCAGAAATTTTATCATGTTCTTCCATTTTAAATGTAAGCAAAACCACAGTGATATTAACACTGCCTCTCATTTTTGTTACCAATAGAAATTCATATCTTCATAGCTCAATGTAATTGTGTCAGATATTGTGCAATTTTATTTATGTTTATCACTATTTTAAAATTATAAGTTCCATTGCACCTGCTAGTGGTTCTTGTTATTTGGTACTTTCAGAAAGATGCGCACATATGATTATATTACAAACTTGGCTATTTCTAAGATATTTTATTAATTGTATTCTAGCATAATTTTTTATAATTCTGCTTTTAAAAAATTGTATCCAGGCCAGACATGGTGGCTCAAGCCTGTAATCCCAGCACTCTGGTAGGCCGAGACAAGAGGATTATCTGGGTCCAGAGGTTCGTGACCAACCTGGGCAACTTGGTGAGACCTTGTTTCTAAGATAAATCAAAAAATTAGCCAAGCGTGGTGGCTCATGCCCGTGGTTTCAGCTACTTGGAAGGCTGAGGCGGAAGGATCTCGTGAGCCCAGTAGGTCGAGACTGCAGGGGCCATGAGTGTGTTGCTGCGCTCCAGCCTGGGCGACAGAGTGAGACTCTGGCTCTAAAAAAAAAATTGTATCCATTTAAAAATTGTATTTAGATGTGGAGATCCAAGATCTTTACCAAAGTGTCAAAGGTGTCCAAGGTACAAAAAAGTATGAACTGTTGCCTTAAATGCAGTTAAGACCGAATGAGTAAAGTTTATTACCTAAGAACAGTAAAGTATCAACATGGACACTCTGCTCAGATTTCAAAGGAATGTCATTGAATGCAGGCTCTCTTTATCTTTTTTAAGAATTATAATATTTTACTTCTTTGCAAAAAAATGTAAGCTGTCAATGTTTCAGTTATGCTTTCAATGTTGTGAAAAATCTCTGAAAGTTCCTTTAATGTGAAGTTTTTCATTCATGTCACTTCTTCTGGGACCTCCTCATCCTTTTCATCACAACCACCTTCCTCATTTATGTCAAGGAGTTTGCTTTTATTAAGTTTCTCTGGTTGCATATCTACAGTTCCTTGAAGGAGGTAATGTCAACAGTCCCATGGTTAGCTATTTGTTCAAAGGTCTAAGCAGATTTGCTAAGTGAAACAAATTTACTTCTTACATCCTGTTCTCCTATCAAAGATGATCAAAGAGCCGGACTTTCAAAAGCTGGGCTCAGGTGCCTCATCTGTCCATAGGTTCCCTTTGGGTGTCCACCCAAGGTGTGATTCTTGTTCGCATTTCTCCCTTGTTTATTGGTGATACAAACATTGTACCATGGCAATCATGTCTTTGCATTTCTGTGACTCACTAGAAACTAAAGTCTCCTACCTGCTTTCAAATGTTAGTCCTACTCACAGGTTTATTACCAGTCTAGTTTTGTCTAATAGCTCAGAGAAAAAGTAGATGAGTTAACAACTTTCAAGTAAAGAGACCAAAGTGAATTATGAATCTCTGTGTGCCTCATCTGTAAAGTAAGTTTGGTAACATCCACCTCAAAAGGCTTCTGGCTGTTAAGCAAGATGCAGAACAGTATCGTTCTCCTTAAATGTTAGTTCCTTCCGTTTCCATCCTTCCCTTCCCTTCTCATCTTCACAGAGGCCAGTCGGGCCGAGGCAGCCCTCTCCACTTGACAGGGAACAAGATGTACTAGTTGCAGAGTCATCCCCTGCTTCTGTGAAAGTGACAAATACAGAGTCTCCACCTGGTAAACCAGCTGAGTCTCTTACTTCCAGGATAGAAACTGCCATGCCCAGTGGATTGGGAATGGGGGTGTCTTATCTCTAAAAGGGTAGGAGGAAAATATGCTTTTTAAAGTACTGACTAACTTGTACATTGAAAATTACATCTATTGTTGCTTTGAAGGTATGGTATTCCTAGCTTTATAATGTCTCAAAATAGTATAACCTAGGATAAGTGTTAATTTGTAATTCATCTAATTTATTTATTTAATAATGCTTAAAGATTAATGGGAATAATTACTATAATCACTTCCAAAGAATAACTAGACATTAAAAATATACGTACAAATATTCTTGCAATAGCAAAAACATGGAACCAAATGTGCTGCCCATTGAAAGTGGACTGGATAAAAAAATGTGGTACATATACACGATGGAATATTATGCAGCCATAAAGAAGGACAAAACTATGAACTTTATAGCAACTTGCATGGATTTAGAGTCTTGGCTTGTACCCCACTTCTTTAAAATAGAAAAGGAAATAAAAAAGAATAAACATTTAGGATCAATAGAGTTCTCTCTCTAGCAAAAAAAATTAATAATTACTTCTCTGTGTGTGTAAATGTGTAAATGTATATAATAAATGGAATAAATGCATTTCAGCTCATTTCATTGATGAAATACAACTTTTGTTCCTTTAAAGCTTATTATTGACATGTTAATGGTGGTTTTAAGTAATTTGCTTGATGACCAGTTGTCTATAAATGTTACCATATCAATTTTTTTCACTCATTCTTTGACATATGAATTGTTTCCACTCACTTATTATGCTTGTTAATTGAGAATGACATATCTGTATAACAATATCTATCTGAGCATCTGTACTTCAGAGACTTCAAACTAACTTACAAAGAAGTCATACAAATAAGCAATTATTAACTTAAAAATACTTAGCAAGAAATATGGAAAGAGGGTGAATACTTAGGAAAAGATTCAGGAAGAAGACAGAGACAGAATGTACATAAAAGGGGAGTACATTTACTAGTAATCACTGCTGAGAAATCGTGGTTCAGTTCTGAGCAAGCATGGGGCACAGGTATTGGTTTTTCCAAAGAAAACCATGTACGGATGTTCCTGGAAAGATAGCAGATCTAACTTATGTGATACATTTAGAGAAAGGAAATAGCAAAATGGCCAGAGATAGATAATTATCACTTAACAAAATATTTCACGTATTTTCAGTTCTCAATTTTTTTTAAAGGAGAAAAATATTTCTTCAAGAATATAATACATTTTTCTCCATGATCATTGGAATGAACAAACCTATCTTACAAATGTGTTTAATGGTTGGGTTTCAAGTGGACTGAATTCTGAAGTGAATATTTTTGAAAAAGAAACATTTGGAACACTTGACGGTGGTTATGAAATGAGATGTGAAATTATGATTCACACAAGGTTTCCCAAAGTTAAATTATGCAATGTTTTAATCTAGCATTTATAAAAGAAACAATACAGACCCCTACTTTTTTGGATGGGGAAATTCTGTAGTGAGGGTAGAGATGAGCCTAAGACTGTTATTCTCTCCCAGCTGCTGCCCTGTGGTAGAACCAGAGGGAGAACCAAAAAATCTGGATCTTCATACTCTGTTCCTTTCACCTCTGCATCTTAGCTATTTTAAGGAATCAATAGACTGGGCATGGTGGCTCACATCTGTAATCCCAGCACTCTGGGAGTCCAAGGAGGGAAGATTGCTTGAGCCTAGGAGTTCAAGACCACCCTGGGTAACATAGTGAGATCTCATTTCTACAAAAAATCAAAACAATTAGCTGGGTGTAATGTCACGTGCCAGTAATCCCAGCTATGCAGTGCCAGAACGATTGCCTGAGGAGGTCAAGGCTGCAGTGAGTTATGATTACGCTACAGCATTTCATCCTGTGTGACAGAAGGAGACTCCGACTCAAAAACAAAACAAAGCAAAGCAGCAACAAATTAGGAGCCAAATATTTGCACAGTGCTTTGGTTTATCCAGTAGATATTAAGATGACTCCATGCTCTCCTTTTCTGCATTCTACTGTAGAAACGTTGAATGAGAAGAGTGCGATACCTCTTTTCTAATCAAGAAACTTGGTTGTTTTTTCCCCCTCCACTTAAACCATGCTGTCCTGGAAGCATGCCCACAAACTTGTCAACACACAGTCCACAGCTACAACTCCACTCACCATTCCTGTGAGGCCCTATGCCTTGCTGCATTTAGTAGAAGGAGTCATTCTTGGTACAAATCAATAGTGGATGTCTTGGCGGAGAAGACCTCCCGACTCAGGATAAGTTTCAGGACCTTCCTGAACCACCGGTAGGAAAAGACGTAGATGATGGGGTTGCAGGCTGAGTTGAAGTAGGCAAACCAGATCAAGATGTCAAAGACCAGTGGCGGTGTAATGGAGTGAAGGAGGCTGTCCACGAGTGTGTCTATGGTGAAGGGGAGCCAGCACAAGAGGTATATGCTCATAGCCACACCCAGAGTCTTGGCAGCCTTCCTCTCACGCTTAGCAGCTCCAGCCAGGCTATTGCTCAGCGTGTTGATCTGCTGAGACTGCCTGTTGGCAATCACAAAGATCTTCACATACAAGCAGATCATGATGAGGCAGGGGCAAAAGAACATGGGGAAATTTAACCAGCCCCAAAACTTATTGAACAGCAGTTGACACCGGCCCACACAAGGCATCTCATCCAGCCAATGACTGAGCCCAGTCTCTACCACATCTGTGTAGAGGAAGAAGGCTGTGAATGTGGCAGGCACCCACCACCCTGCCAGGAGGTACCCAAGGGCCACCCTGACCGAGAACTTGGAGGGATAGAGCAGGGGGTTGCAGATGGCACAGTGGTGGTCAATGGAAATGAAGCAGAGATGGAAGATGGAGGGAAGGCAGAAGAGGGTGTCCAGGTAGATATGCAGGCGGCAGAGGATATTCCCGAAGAACCAGCAGCTCTCCACGGAGCGAATGGCGCTGAGAGGTAGCACCAGCAGACCCAGAGACATGTCAGCCAGGGCCAGGGAGAGCCGCAGGACGTTGGTAGGAGTGTGAAGCACTTTGAAGTAGGACACAGCACACACCACAAACAAATTCCTAGCACTGTAATCAGCATGCCTGCTGCACAAGACAGGTAGATCACCAACTGGATGCCCAGAGGACGGACCGTCCTGAGGCAAGATCCATTCACCTGGTAGCAGAACGCCACAGGGTGTTTTTCAGCACCTGGGACGAGGACAGCGCTCATTTATGGTTTCTACTCTCTACTCTCTGCAAGATCTGGTTGCCTTCTCCACGGGGGAAAGAATTGTCCTCTAAATTATCAGAAAGTGAGGTCAAAAGGAGGAAACTAAAGCGCAATTTTGAGCTGAGCACAACATCCCTGTGTACAATTCAAATGTGCCCTGAAATTCAAATGCAGCAAGAAACTCAAAGTTTCTAAAGAGTTACTTTTACTAGTCCTAGTTTGTACTAAGTACTTTGAAACAAGTATAGACAGTATTCATAAGAAAAGAGAAGGAGCGGGTAAGGGAAATGTTTGCTCAAAGAAAAACTGATTCTGTAGTAGCAAGTATAGTATAGAATTATTGAGAAGATATCTCTTCCATTTTGATAAGATACTCGTCAAATGTAAAGGGAAATTTAAAGCTATGCTAGGAACCAAATTAATAAATTATTTCTTGGGGAAGGAGTAGCTTCTAGTTCCCCTTTGAATAATTAAGTAAATAGACAATAAAATCCGCAGATCAAGGTTTTCAGTTACATGTAAACTCTTTCCATGAGAAGAATTCAGCATGAACATAATTTTTAAAAATAGAAAACTGCTCTATTTTGGTTTTGAATGCTGCACATTTTTTAAAAGTAACACACAGTACCTACATATCTTGGAAGAATGAATACAAAAAAAATTTTATCCATCTTAACAGTAGTCTGTGAGCTATTAAACGAGTTCTGATAAATTAAATCTATAGTTTCTAGGCTACTTACAGAGGTAGAAATCAGCAGAATCACTTCATGGGAAGAAGTCTCTTTGTAGCAGGTGGACAAAATGAATGTTGAGTCTTTTTATATCAGCAAAGATGACATATGTGCAATCAGTTAATGATCTTACACTCTCAACAGGAACTCTTCCTCCATGTGATGTGACACAAGTAAACAGGGAGGAGTACCAAGGGACCTAGCTTGCACTATTCACAAGTCTTAGTTTTATAAGTTTCCACTGAAATATAAGATCATTTCCTCTGACAGTTAATTGATAATAACATGTAAACACACAGTGGTGTATACACACTCTCACCAGTTCTAGGATATATGTGCAGGTATTCTTGCCTGTTGATAGTGGCTATATATTATTTTATTTAATTTCATGTTTAGTGAATTTTGTTCTGCTTTAGGATCATTTGTGCACATTTCTCTCAATATGAGAAATAGTTGAAAGAACTGATCATGAGTCCTTCGGTTTGTTTTTTTGTTTGTTTGTTTGTTTTGTTTCGTTTTTGAGTTGGAGTCTCACTCTGTCGCCCAGACTGGAGTGCAGTGGCTGCTCCCGGCCACCGCAGCCTCGACCTGTTGGGCTCTGGTGATCCTTCCGCCTCAGCCTTCCGAGTAGCTGGAATTACAGGCAGGCAGGTCTCGAACCCGCGGGCTCAGGCAATCCACTCACCTCAGCCTCCCAACGGCGTGGGATTACAGGCTGAGCCACCGAGCCCGGCTGAGTCCTTCGGTTTGTAAGGGGAGTTTTGTGACTCCATGTGAGATTCATCATGATGTTCTTTATAAGTTCTGTGGTTTGTGATATGAAAGAAAGCATGGTTAGGTGAAACAGTTCACCAGAAAGCAGAATAGTTAAATTCCTGTTTTGCCATATTCTTTGCCATGACCTAATCTGACCCTCTATTTCCCCATTCATAAGAATACACACAGTTAAATCCATATGTCTCGAGTGCACAGAGGTTTTTTTTGTTTTGTTTTGTTTTGTTTTGTTTGAGTTGGTGTCCCACGCTGTTGCCCAGGCTGAAATGCAGTGGCATGGTCATGGCCATTGCAGCCTCGACCTGCTAGACTCAGATGAAACTTCTGCCTCAGCCTTCCAAGTAGATGGAAATTCAGGCGTGTACCACCATGCCCAGCTAATTTTTTGATTAATTGTAGAGATGAGATCTTGCTGGGTTGCCCAGGCTGGTCTTGAACCTGTGCACTCAGGCAATCCTTTCACCTTGCCCTCTCAAAATGCTGGGATTATAGGCATGAACCACCGTGCGGGGCCTATGCACAGAGATATTATGGAAGAAAATAGCACGTTGAATCATGTTCTTCCCCCCTCTTTCTCGGTGTCCTAGAAGTTGGTATGCCTCTTTATGGTCATGGAGACACCATTCCACAACACAAGTCAAGTTGATGTTGTACAAGAAACAGAATTCTAAAGGTGATACCATTTTGAATCTGCCAGAGAGGCCTCTAGGAGTAGGTGGGGCAGGTCAAAAAGAATGTGGGAGGTTGGCATACACCACCCTCTTCTCCACAAAGTCCCAGCAAAGCCCAATGTTTTGCAAAGCAAAGCTCCCTGTAGCCTGATGACTGCTGAAACTTACCTTGTATCAGATTCACATGTGTGGAAATGGATTGCTGACTCTAGAACTTATTCAGACCAAAGAAAAATCCTGTTTTCCCAAGTACCATGACACCTCCTTAGCCTAAAAGTAAAAATCCACATCCAGTTGACAGAGAGTCTTATGGCTCTATATTTAATTTGACTAAGCCTGTAAAAAATATGAACAAATGTCTTATAGCTGGAATAGGGCTGAAGAAGAAAACTTCCAGAAAGGTTTTGGTTCTGGGATAGATTTTTTTTTTTTTTAAATTTTTGAGTTGGAATCTCACTTCATCACCCAGGCTGGAGAGCAGTGGCACACTCATAGTCACCCCAGTGTCGACCAGCTGGGCTCCGGCGATCCTTCAGCCTCAGCCTTCCAAGGAGCCAGAACTACAGGTGTGCGCTATCACGCCCAGCTAATTTTTGATTTATTGTAGAGACAAGGTCTCGCCAAGGTGCCCGGGCTTGGATAGATGACAGCAAACCTACTTAAATGCAACTTACCAATGTAATCACCAATGTCTTTGGAAATGTAGGATTGTACAGATTGTACAATCTCTATGCCAGAGAGGTACTATCTGTATGCCAGAATGAACTCATCCTTCTGTGCCCAGTTTTCTCATCTATTAATTGAATATAATATAATATCTATGTCACAATTTTGTTGTGAAGATTGAACTAAAATGTATAAAGTACTAAGAAGTCTTTGGTATGTAGTAAGTTGACTTAGATGGGCAGGAGTATGAATGGAGATCTAATCCAGATAACTGTTAACCTTCCCAAGTTAGGTAACTTATTCCCTCTTCCACTGACTTTTAGAAAACATTCCAGTTGCATAACAACAAGAAGCAAATGTAATTAGAATCTGAATTGCCTACGTTTTCTCGTTAGTTTGGGAGTTCATTGGAGCTCTGGGGAAAGAGCTTTCATCAAAGTAGTTGTGCATTTTAGCAAGGGGAGATGGGCTAGCTCTGTGGCTCATCCTGTAATCTCAGTACTTTGGGAGGCTGAGGCGAGCGGATTGCCTGAGCCTGTGGGTTCGAGACCCGCCTGGGCAATTTGGCGAGACCTCATCTCTACAATAAATTAAAAAATGAGCCGGGGATGGCAGGCACACCTGTAGTTCTGGCTCCTTGGAAGGTTGAGGCTGAAGGACTCCCGGAGCCCAGCGGGTCAACGCTGGGGTGACTGTGAGCATGCCACTGTACTCCAGTCTGGGTGACAGAGTGAGACTAAACTCGAAAAACCAAAAAAAAAAAAAAAAAAAAAAGTGGGGGGAGGCAGGGAGGAAGACATGCACAAGGTAGTCAAATTGCTGTTTAGAAATTTAGATTTTTTTTTTAACAGCATACGTGCTATTTAATAGCACCAAAACCACTAGGCTGGGCTACAGGATGGGGACATTTCTTTTCTAATGAAGGAAATTTTCAAGCTTTCCTAAAATAAGTTCTAAATGTTGGTCAAAGGTAGAAAAAGACTGATAGGAGATATTCTACAGGAAAAGAATTCTAGCTGAGGCCCTCAAGAAACCTGTACTTGTTCAATAGTATTTGAGACAGGCTGTCAATAAATTTTAAAGAACTGCCTCTAATTATATTTGTGATATGAAAGGGCAATTACCATTACAAAGGGCAGTTAAAGTGATGATTTATTTTTTAACAGAAGGAATAGTAGCAACTCTTTTAGAAGTACAAATAAAGTAGTCATTCCAGGATTGATTTAGGGAGTACAAGACTACCTGCTTTTAGTTTCAGCTCTGCAATTCAATAAAGATAGGTTAAAAGTATATAAGGGGAGAGACTTTAGTAAGCATTAGACAGTGCCAAGAACAAAGGTTTTACAGAGAGATAAGCCTGGTTTTGAATCTTACTTCTAAAATATTAGCTGTGTGATCTTGGAAAAGTTGCCTAACCTCTCTGAGGATAAGGAGTTCTAATCTATAGTTATAGGAGGTGTTCAATGTTTAGAAGATTAAATAAAATAAATTATACCACTTACCTGGAGTATAGTAGTTAATCAATAAATACTAATTATTTTCTTCTATTTTCTTAATTTTGTATCCTCTCTGAATTTATACTCTAAATCAGGCGTTTGCTTATTTTATTTTTTTTAAATCTATATTTTGCTTTTATCCCAGTGTGCCAGTAAATATCTCTCTCTCCTTTTTTTTTTTGAGTTGGAGTCTCACTCTGTCGCCCAGACTGGAGTGCAGTGGCCGCTCCCGGCCACCACAGCCTCCACCTGCTGGGCTCTGGCAATCCTTCCGCCTCAGTCTTCCAAGGAGCCAGAACTCCACGCCTGGCTGATTTTTTGATTTGTTGTAGAGATGAGGTCTCGCTGCCCAGGCGGGTCTCGAACCCGCGGGCTCAGGCAATCCACTCACCTCAGCCTCCCAAAGGCGCGAGATTACAGGCTGAGCCACCGAGCCCGGCTGTAAATGTCTCTTATACAGGATATTATGTATGTACGTGTGTGTGTATTTATTAGAGATGAGGTTTTACCGTGTTCCTCAGGCTGGAGTACAGTGACATGATCATAGCTCATTGTAACCTTGAACTCTAAGGCTCAAGCGACCCTCCCATCTTGGCTTCTGAGGAGCTGAGACTTCAGGCACACACCACCACAACTGGCCAATTTTTAAAAAATTTTTTGTA